AAATGACTGATTAATTGCAGTTCTAAACATTTATTGGAAGATTCCAACAACAAATACAGATGAATCAGATTTCACCCCGATGCACAAGAGAACAGTAGCTAGGTGGATAACGCGATAGCGTTTGAAGCAAAAAGTGATGAAATCGAGTCCTTGAGAGAACATTAATTCCGGGACCCTTGTAAATTCAACTGGTGAGTTCTAAATGGAATGAACCGGACGTCTTCGATTCTGCTGTGACCTACCATTCATTCATCCATAAGCATGAAGTTGTAAATTGTTTGATTACAAGTAATACATGTTACTGTGGATTTCTTGTGAGATATCGTTTCATAATTAAACCATCTCTAATCTTTAGATACAAACTGTTCACTTAAATACACAATAGGGTTTTCATGTAAATGACGAGATAAAAGTAGATGACATATACATTATCTTTCCACTAATCAAACAAAATTTTGAGTACAATATAATGATCATTTTAGAAAAACCTCTATAAAAGTTGAGTATAATTTAAAGGCAACAATCAAACTGTATTCAATATAAAATAATTATAACATTGTAAATATAAATCTTTTGTGATGAGATAAATGTAGTATTTCATTGTAGTCATCTTATTTACCTTAACAAATCACATCAGTGAGAAGATTCAAGTAAACAATACCAAGTGAATTTAAATTTCACTCCATTACACAAACAAGTGATTATCAGGACTCAGTAGCTAAGTAGATAAACTGATGGCGTTTGAAGCGAACAGTACTGGGTGAACATTAACATCATTGATGCCTTTAGGACTGCAAATGATCAGTCTGTTATTAGTATATGTACATACTGTGAGTATTGCCTCGATATTGCCTCAAGTCACAGGCATTGTGGGCAAAGATGGATAGTGGTTAGCAGTGGAATCCAGTTTGACGCGCGTTTCGTCCTATTTGGGATTTGTCAGCTGGATAACGCGATTCTGTTTGAAGCGAACGGCACTGGGTTCAGGCCCAAGAGTGAACATTAACTCCGAGATGCAGGTAAATCCAGCTGTTAGGTCACAAATAGGACGAAACGCACATCCTGGATTCCACTACTAGTCATTATTCATCTTTGCTTATAAATCACATTAATGTTTTTTGATACAATACTAACACGTACATAATTTTGTAATTTATCATTATTTGGCTACATTCCTGATAGCATATTACTCCATGAATAGTCAATTTATAATTGTTTAATCATATACATGACAGTTTTAAGTGATTATCTATATATGATAATATTGAATGAATACTATATCAATTAGCATACAGAATGATAAACATACCAATTTCGGGTAAAGCTTGAATATGATTTAAAATGAAAAGCCAAAACCAAATAAATTGCATCATTTTACTCATTATAATGTTTTCTATTATAGGCTTTCTTAGAATGAAAGGATAAACATATAAATTTATGGATATATATATATATATATCTCCATATGAATGTCAAGCAAAGAAGACTCGAACACAAGATGGATCAAGACATATCACCATAACATCAGCTGAATCAAATCACAAGGTATAATTTGATTATGTTTAAGATTTATCTTTTTGAAATAGAAAGAAGAAAAAGAAAAGATACTTCCTTTATTTTCAATAATTAAGTTGACATTAGTCTTCTTTTATATTTAAAAAAAAAGTTTTTCATTCAATTCAGAAATGTCTAGAAAATGGTCTAAATTCGAAAATTTCATTTAATTACTTATCCATTAATGGGAACATGATTAGTGATTACATGCACTAATCAAATTACATTTGATGAAGAAGCTATGAAGGATGTAAAGAGTTTTACATATTTGGGAAGTATCATTGATGAGCATGATAAATCTGTTATAGATGTAAAGGTATGAATCGGTAAAGCAAAAGCAGCATATTTACAACTGAAGAATATCTGAAACTCAAAACAACTGTTAACCAACAGCAAAGATAGAATTTTCAAAACAGTTCTACTGTATGGGGCGGAAACTTGGAGAAACACGAAAGACATTATCCAGAAGATACAAGTGGTTATTAACAGTTGTCTAAGCGAAATACTTCGAATCCTTTGGCTAGACACTATCAGCAACAACCTATTGTGGGAGAGAACAAACCAGATTGCAGTGGAGGAAGAAATCAGGAAAAAACGCTGTAAGTGGATAGGACACACATTGAGGAACACACACAACTGTGTCACAAGCAAGCCCACACATAAAATCCCTTAGGGCAAAATAGAAGATGAAGGTCAGTGAACACATTGCGTCGAAAAACGGAGATAGATATAAGAAGAATGAACAACAATTGAATAGAACTAGAAAGGAAGGCCGATGACAGAGTGGTTTGGAGAATGTTGGTCAGTGGCCCATGTTCCATTTGGGGTAACAGGCGTAAGTCAGTAAGCAAGTAATTGAGAAGCCCTGTTAAACGTTCTAGTTGAAGATGCGTTTTAAAAACTAAATAGGTGCGATTTTATTCACCCGTAAATACTTCATCAAAAAATGTTCCAACGGAATAAGTGTTAACTATTTAGCGACCAACTAAGTCTATTGAAAGTTAAAACTTACATGGACTTTAAGCATGACAAAAGATATTTGAGAATGAAATATTCAATTGAATTAACCAACTGCCTAGTGAACAGCAAGATATATTTGTAGACAAACGTATAAAAAATGTTTTGTAAGTTAATAGTCCGTTATTTTAGTCTTTGTTGAAATATGTGCATCCTATACAGATTCCTTCTACATAATTATTCAAATACAGATTTTGTTGAGTAGATGGATTGTATCTAACAGGTGAAATCCAGCAGGCACACATCCTCCTCTTTTCCTTTTCCATTCAAGATTTCAAGTTAGTGCTTGCATCGTGATTCAGTTAAGTGATTTTCTCAATGTATGTCATATCCAATTCCAACGTCTTTTCCTAATTTCCTATTCAGTTGGAAGCTCGTTTCTTCTCTCTCACAATAAACTGTTACTGATGCTATCCAGTCAATGGACATTGATTATCTTGCGTAGACAATTGTTTATAAATACTTGTAACTTGTGATGTTATTTGTAGTAGTTCTCGGAATTTTATTTCCATACAGTAGAATTGTCTCGACATTCATATTAATGATTGTGACTTTCATGTTGACTGGTAGTTGTTCTAATTTCTATTTGTTCTTCAATTGTAGGGATACTGTGCTGCCCTTCCAGTCCTTGTATTTAGGTCTCTATCAGATTGCCCTTGTTTATCGATTATGCTTCCCAGTTATCTAGAACTTTCTACCTCTTTCAAAGTTTCTCCATCAAGTGTGATTGGATTGGTGTTATCCATCTTGTATTTAAGAATCTTTCTTCATCCCTTATATATGTTGAAACCTACTGATGCACAGGCTGCTGCTACATTAGTTATCCTCATCAGCATTTGTTGGTGTTCATGGTACAGTAGAGCTCACTCATCTGAGAATTTCGAATCGTTGAACTGTTCATTGTATTCCAATAAATCAAGAGTTTAATTTCACCTTTTCTGATAACATTTCAACAACTCTGATATTATCATTATTAGAATTGTTATAAATACATTAATGTTTCATTAAATATTTACTTTAGATCCGTTGTCCAGACACTATCAGCAACAACCTTCTGTGGGAGAGAACAAACTAGATGTCAGTGGATGAAGAAATCAGAAAGAAGCACTAGAAGTGGATAGGATATACATTGAGGAAAGCACCCAGCTGTGTTACAAGACAAACTTTTACTTGGAATCCTCAAGGCGAAAAGCGAAGAGAAAAGAACAAAGAACACATTACGCTGAGAGATGGAGACAGACATGATAATCATAAAAACAATTGAATAGAACTATAAATGAAGACCTAAGACAAATTGGGTTGGAGAATGCTTATTGGTGGACTATGCTCCATTGGGGGATAACGGGCGTTAGTAAGTAAGTTTATATGTTGATTCTCATTTACTGGTTAACTGATTATATGATTAGTGATTTGTTAATAATGAATTTTCTTAACATTTCTTTCTCCATTAAAATACTATACAAATTTTATAATGTAACCAATGAGACTATAATTTATGGACGACCTTTAAACGACGCCAATATAATCTTGAAAGTGCATACCTATTTAATCTTGCTAAATAAAAATTATAAAGCAATTTAAGAAATAATAATAAGTTTACATTTGATGTTCGAAGTTTCGGATTTAGATTTATAGTTTTCATCACGAACTAACATATTAACTAATATCAACCAAGACACTATTTAAACGAATGAATAAGTGAATTTCACTTCAAAAACCAAAGATCTATTATCTTAAATCTGATTGGTTCATCCTATAAATTATAGACTCGTCGTATAACCTTAGGCTATTTTATATATCCCATATTATTGAATTAAGAATTTTTATCCCATAGAAACCATTTCAAAAAGATAACAAAAGAAAGAAAGTCGTTGTTTTTTTGTTGTTGTTGAAAATATGAATTCCTATTTATTTTTGTATATTGAATAAGAAGTGTTTTTCTTTTCTTTCTCTAATTTGATTCTTATACATTAGATCATAATAAAGTAGTAAGTTATTATTAAGCTAAAATAGAAAATATCATGCAAAAGAAAACAATAATTAACTCTAATTAACTTGTAAAATAATAATAATAATAATAAATAGTGTATTATTGTTCTCTACATGTATGATATTTTTATCCACTTTAATACATACATAATATGTGTGAGTAATCATTTGTAACTATGTGTGTGTTTTTGTTGTCAGACAGCAACAACAACAACAAAAAAATAATAACTGGAAGAGAACTGTTTACAGGATTATTTTCTTTTTTTTTTCTTTTTACCAATCTAGTTATAAATGTATAAATATTATGATAAATCTAAGAATTCATTTGAACTTTAATTGATAAATCATTTTGAGCTCTTCATTGGATACAATTTAGATCCATTATGAATGGTAAAAATGTTCTTCACTGTATATATATAAATGATGATCATGATTATGATTTATACAATTTTATTGATTAGATAATGATTTTGTTTCTCATCCTCTTGATTCATTTGTTCAATAAAGGCACATTTATTCATTTCATTATTTAATAATTCTTCATTACGACGAAATTTTTCAAATTCATCTCTACGTTTTAATACTTTTTCACGTCTCATATGTTCTTTATAAAAATCAGCAAAATTATTCACAATAATTGGAATTGGTAATGCTACTACTAATACACCACATATACAACAACATGCACCAATTAATTTGCCTAATATTGTTCTTGGTAACATATCACCATAACCAACTGTTGTCATTGTAATAGTTGCCCACCAAAATGCCGATGGTATACTACGAAACATTTCAGAATTTTCATCTTTTTCAGCAAAATATACTAAACTAGAAAATAATACAACACCTAAAGCAATTAATAACATAAGTAAACCAAGTTCTTTATAAGAACGTTTAAATGTATAACCAAGTGCTTGTAAACCAGTTGAATGTCTAGCAAGTTTAAATATACGTAATATACGAAGAATACGAAATATTTGTACAATTTTTCTTAATGAATGTAATGATTCATTATGATGTCTTGTTACAACTTCTACCAATAATACATGGATATAGAATGGTAAAATTGCTATTAAATCAATAATATTGAGAATACGTTTAAGAAATTTCAATTTATTTGGTGAACACCATAAACGTAATACATATTCCAATGTAAACCAAGAGATACATATTGTTTCAACAATATCTAAATATGGATTATCAGTTATTTCATTTGATGATTGATGTATAGTAGTAGTAGTTGTAGCATTATTATCATCTGTATCGGTAAGTATCTCCGTCTCAATATATTTGATCAATGTAGTGTTAAGTTGTATTTCAGGCATTGTATTCAACGTTAAACTGATTGTAGATAGAAGGATAAAAATTATTGAAACGATTGCAAACACCTATGTAGAATGAAATAGATGAAAACAGTAACAAGGGGTTATATATATATATATATATATATAATAATGTAAAGAAAAATTAGTAGTTTGATGAATACAAATCAAAAATGTAGTTGGCTTTTACGGTTAACAACACCGACTGGACTTAGCTAGACAACCATTAAAAACCAGTAAGCACTGGATAGCTCTTTTATCCTAGTATGGGACTTCTCAACAGTGCGCATCTGGAAAAAGTTTCGAAGATAGAACTCGAGGACTTCAGGTATTAAACTAAGCCATTACAAATGATTAATTCTGAAAGACAACTCCAGGAGTCCTGTTGAGAAGCTTTGATAACAGGTATTCAAACATGTTGTATGTAAGTCAATTATCCGTTACTGACATTGGACGTTAATTGTGCAATTATGCGAAATGAATCAAGTTAGACTTATAAATGATTGTTACTTTACATAATAAATGAATGAAATGGCATTAAGAGAAGGCACCATGATAATTATTCATTTAATAATAATTATACCAAATAGCGGTCGAAAACCCAGATGTGAAAAACAAATTTAATATTCAAAACTTGTGACTTAAGGTAATATCGAGGCAATCCACACAGTATGCACATATGCCGACATGAGACTGATCAATTACAGTCTTAAATAACAATAGGAAAATACAAGTAAAACAACACCAAGTCAATTTAATATTTAGCTCAAAATTACATAGTACCTTCCTAAAATATGAAAATTATACATCAAACATATTATTTGCATATCTTCCATAGTTATTCTTCACATGCTTCATGCTTCTTTCGATTCTTTTGTTATTCCAATTACTCTTTGTTTTCTTTCATGTTCTTTACAATTCATTTTTCTGTTGACAGGCATCCCACTTCCATTTGCCGCTACATACTACTTATATCTATCAGCATAAGTAGCATATATATATATGTGTTACACAGCAAACATCATGGGATATTTAAACATTTAATCTCAACAACGTCTTTAATTTTCTTAATTTATGACTTAAAAAAAGATTACCGTAAAAGATATTCGTTTATTAATTTATCATCTTAACTTATACCTCGAGCTTAGCTTCAAGGTGAATGTTATTGGTGACAAGATACAAGAAATATATGTCCATAGGTTGTATTTTTGTTGTTCACTTGAATAAATAAACGATTTATGTGTACCCATGAAACAAACAACGCTCTTTTAGGGCATGAAACTTCCAAAATCTAGTATCTAAGTTATTATCATTGAACTATTCAGTCAATTAAATTAGTCTTTTGCTATTTGTGAACGCATGAAAACAAATCTAATTAGTAGAATTTGAATAGTATTATGAACTTGGTAATGTAACGTTGGTTGTCGTTTTGTGATCGATTATAGTGAAAATACAAAATCATTCAGTAATTACGAACTCCGTTTTTTTAAACTTCAAATGGTAGGAATCTGTTTTTTTCAAACTGGAAAATCTTGTTCAGTGAAATATATCAAAATGAGAAGTAATACGAATTTCCATTTGATCTATATGGTTGACTATGTGAGGAGATGTCACTATAGTGACAAGAACACCAGTGGGGACAATCGAATGTATTTGATACGAAATCTGAGAACCATATATTAAATAGTTAATTTTCAAAATATCAATCTATCATCTCAAACTTGACTGTTCCTGTTGCAAACATCAATCCATTGTCTCAGATTTCATTATTCATACGTTTTCATACCCACTGAGTTTTGTTCTCGTTCTTTCCTCATCGACCTTCTACTGAAATATACATTCTATACCTGACCACCCTCATATATTACTTGTGTGGACATAAGTAACCCATACCACATCACTTTTTGACACCTGTCTTCAATTTAAAAACTGATAGCTTTCGAATACTTTCGGGTGGATTCATATAAGTTGACCTTCTCAAGGTTCTGTAAAATAAACTATATATTTAATAATATTCTAGAACATTTGTAAAGATTGATTAATATATTCATTATTTTAATATCTATCTGAGCTTAATCATTTGGTGGAAAACACATTGGTGTTGGGAACAAAAGTAATTAGGTTGGATTTTCAATGTGAACATAAACACTGGCATGCAAGTATATTCTATATATGATGAAATACGTGTTCTGAATTTCACTGCTCGCCATTATTGAATTTCCATATTACTAGACATGTTATTCCCTATGTTTATTGGAATCATTAGTTAAGCTACAAAACGTTAAAAAAGTAACTATGAGACTGAATTATCATACAAATGAATTAGGAACATCAAGTTAAATAAATATTATCAATCTTTTAGGTTTGAAGCAAATACGAGTTCACTTGATCTGCGAACGAGAACAAAGACTCAGTGATCAAGACCAGTAAGCTAGCTATTTGGTGCGTTCCAGCCCCGCTAACTAGAAGGAGAAGTCCAAGCTTGGAGTGGGAAAGTAGATTCTGCAAACAGCCAGAAACGAGCGATAACAACAAACACAATTCAAAACGTATATATACAGTGCTAAACCATCCTTGGGGAGAGTTACCAAATAGCAAACTAAAAGACTCAAAGGACTAATATCATTTAAGATATTTCCCAGTGGGAAATACGACATGAAGGTGACAAGAGCGCCCTTGGCGCGAAAACAAAAAACTTCAAATTTTCTAAATAAAATTACAAAATAAGTTCCTTTCCCAAGTGAGTTCTGGGGATCTAACGTCCCCAACACAATCTAATAGTGTAAATGAAGAGTATTTAATATAAATGATAATGAGATATACAAAATGGATAAAATACAACCTTTTAAAACAGTAAAATAATATTGAGAAAACTAGGTATACATTTCTATGAACATAGATGAACTAAACTATGGTAAAACTAAATTTCTTCTAATGAGTATAAACTAAGAAATTGTCAATAACTAATTATTGATTTACATTGTTTAGGATAGGTCTACATATTGACCTTCTATTTCGTAATTGATGTCACAAAAAGTGTTTAATAGATTGAATCAGTCAGTCAGTCAACTACAGTGTAGGACCAGGCACACATATGTATCGGTTCAAGTTGCCATACGTCATTAGCATAACAAATGAAATCACTACTGTTATGAATGAGATTTGTTCAATAAATATCCTAGTTTTGAATATATTGTGATTCATTATTTATTCTACGACATTTAGTCAGTCAGTCACCTACAACATAGGACCAGGCATATATATGCATCGGTCAAAGTGGCCATACCTCATTAGCCCAAAACGATGAACACTAAATTCATAGAAGTAGTTAATTCAATTCTACACATTACCATATAATTTCTGTATGTAATCATTTGAGTTTCAAATACTGAATAAATAATAAAATAATGCAAGATGTTTGTCTGGTCTTTCTTCTGAACAAAAATGCCGCGAAACAACAGTTCTGCATTCAATCATATTTTTATATTGAGGCATCTTTTCCATCCTGATTGCGCGCTAATAATACTAATCTTAAACTGTTCGAATTGTGTTAAACTAATTATCATTAGATGTTACACACGTCATTATCCATTAGAATAATAGCACCTAATAACAGATATAATTAATTGGATTATGTTTTAATATTACTGTCAAGCGCATCAATTTGAGACATGGAAACAAAACATGTACGATATAACTTTTTACATGATGAAATGAAACAACAGTTTCATTACATAATATGTAAACTACATGGTTGATATTGATGAAAGATTAGTGATACTCAGTTGCTTTTATATTCAGAAAAATCAAACTCATAACTTTTGTCACAATTTCGTTTACTGAACTGGATGGTTTAGTCATGACGTTTACTTTATCATTTAAATTATTCTGCATAAAACTGACAGGTTAACCGATTTACGTTGATAAAGGTTCAGTAAGACAATGAAAGTTTCATGGTTAAATCAATTAGTTCACAGAATCAAATCATCGAAATAAACAACTGAAACACAAGTCGCCTTCATCATTTCATAGCTCTGTATTAAGAATTTGTTTTCCCATAACAATACTGTACCATCCACAACTGATGTTGTTTTTATAGAATAAACAGTTATGAAATAAACGTTTGTGTCACAATATTATATACAACAGAATCATATATTTTCTAAGATCTAGTGTTTGTTCTTATCGTGATGGTTCTAACAAATCCTAGACACGATTAGAACGCGCACTGTGTATTTCACTGCTATTTACAACTCATGTTAAGATGGTGGTTGAATGTGGTCAACAGGAAACCCTGAACCTAGGTTTCGTGCTACTTGGTACTCGTCATTAAGGTGTACCTGTAATCTTGGGAAAACTGATGCTCAGTGGTAACATTTCTGACCATGAAGCTGTGTGACACGGGAGTGAATTCGTCAGGGAGCATCGGTTCTCTCAAGATTTCAGGTACACTTTACTGACGAGTGCCAAGTAGCACAAAACCTAGGTCCATGGTTTCCTACTGACTACCTTCAATTACTATCTTGTCTCAAAATAGCGTACGCAATGTCAAGTCATTTAGACTAGTAGCCACATTGTCACTTGGTTCATAGGATTCGATCTGCACTAAGAGGTGACATACATGACATTGATCACCATCCACTGATCAATCAATTGTAAATACAACTCATCTTTTGTATTATCAATTTTATTTGAGCACTTCCTTTTAATCAATATTAAAATAGTTTAGAACTGATGAATAATTAAACGAGCTTTCAACGTTTCATTATTTCACCTAATCCGTCTATATTACTTGATTTATAGTTTTATAATAAACATTGTACAATGCAGTAAATACAGTGACATATATTAATATCAGATAGGTTTTGTGGATATTATAGTGATTTCAATGGGTAAGATCATGAGTCAGTTGAAGCTAGACCACCATGGAAAATCTGGAAGCATTGGAAGGTCGTTTCGTCCTATTATAGGACTCCTCTAGCTTCAACTGACTCATGATCTTAACCATTGAAATTACTTCAATATCCACAAAACCCATCTGATATTAATCAACATATGTTCACTAG